TTCTCAAGCACATGCAACTCGCACCAGCAGAAGGGCCTGCACGTGCTTGCCTCAGATTCATGGAGCACAGCCAACAAACAGCGTGCCCAAACAAGCTCTCAATTCAGCACAGGTGCTGACGTTTTGTGCCAAATGTCCTCGAATCTTTTCTTTGCTTAAGCCTTCATAGGCTTCATTCGCGTCAAAGTGGTTCTTCTTTATCAACGCCTTGGCAGGCCGTGCCAGTTAGTTGCCGAAACCCTTGACTTGTCTCAAGATGTTCAACTCCGCAATAACATAGATATCAGTGATCAGCTAAAAGTGTCCAGCAAAGATGCTTCAATGCGAAGGTACCTTGCAATGACTGCTTGTCCGCTTGTCACTCAACTTCCGGCATAACCTACGCCCGAACTTCAATAAGGCGAATAGTCTAGCAAAGGTGGCCTATCAGACTGTCACTGGACATCTGGCCTCTCGGGATTTGCCTGCTTCAAAGAGTTCATTGGCGCTGTCTCCCGCAGCAGGTGGTGTGCAGTATCCACCTCACGCAACTCAGCCAACTCCAGCACGACCTTGGTCAAGTGGAACAACAAGAAAGAAAACATTGAAATACTCATCAATAGATTCAAGAACGATCTTCCATTGATCTGCCTTGTTTCACTCACACTGACTCTGACTCATACCCCTACGTTCATTCCGAATCGTCTTTGGGCAGCGCTGGCATGCCCCATGGCTGCCATGTTACTTCACTGGTCGGGCGTTTCCCTTTGCAAATTGGCCAGGCCTGGCTGTACAAATCTTGGAGTATGTTGGCGGGCAAGCTAAGATAGGAAACTGCCTGCCTCGCATGTCAAATTACGTTCAGTTCAGCTTCAGCAGCATGTGTAAGCACGTGTATATAACGAAGTTCGTCAACTCTCAAACTTAGATGCCAAGGCACAACACTGAGTCCCAATGGCCTGCAGCAACTAGGGACTGCAAGGAGGCTGAACATGCACTTGCTGCATGTTTCCCAAAAGCTTTGCCAAAATGGTAGCAAGTGGTGGTTGCAACCGAGCACAACAGGTTACAGTAACCATGCGTCAGTCTTGCCAAAAAGGACTGTCGAAGAAAATTGCCTTTGTTGATGTCGCTGAGCAAGGCATCCAGGGAGTCTACCGCATTTAGAGACACTCTGGACTCTTCCTGAAGGCATTGCAAGGTCCTTGCACAAGCGCCGGCAACAAATGTAACGCGAATTGGCCTTGACCATTTCACACAAAACTGCCAATGTCAGTCCTAAAAAGGCTGTTTTCTTTGCAGAACCTTAGGTCAATTACTCCACCGGCCCACGTGTGCTGAAGGTGTCGTGGGGATGGTCCAGAGCACTGAGCTGAGCATGGACTTACTGAGCATGGACTTACTGACTCTGACTCAATCAATGCAAGCAAGCAGCTGCAGAATCAGCCTCACAAGGTAGTTTTTCCCAAGTCTAACATTGACATACATCATTCCCGTCCTGACTATGTCTGCACTGTCCACAGTGGCAGCGCTTCCACCAGTAGCCATGGCTGGCAAAACTGCCCAAGCTACAGTGGCACAGCGTGCAATTTTGATCAATTTTGGATTTTTTTGGTTTGTGGGTTTGGCATCGCGCAATATCGCGCAGCTCCTGTGCAATCCCGCACCTTGCCTACAGCATCTCCGTATCACAAGCTGAGTTGCCTGAGTTCAAATGCCGCCACCAGACTGTTGTTGGTTCCATCGACCGCGGTTTATTAAACAATGATGGCTGGTTTGTAGCTGATTTGTTGGATTGTGGTTGCGTTTGTGTGTCGTTTGTGTGCGCGACTGACATATCCATGATTGCCTCCACTCCCCGCAACCAAAAGCCAAAGCCACGAAATCAAAGACAGTGACACAGTGTTCCTACAAAGCGCAAGCAAAAAAAATGTGCGCAAACCTATTGAAATTGCAAATGTTGCTCTTGCTCAAAGAGTTCCCACAAGTCTGCTGGGCACGCGACCCCGAGCCGACCTTCAATTACTTTAGTCTTTAGCCCTAATAACACATTCCCTTTGGCAACAGTTCTACACAAGCCGTTCCGAGATTTGCACAGTCGTGGTTGGTTTCCTCCTTCAGTCCTACAGGGCTTGGCACATGTCATGATACTCATGCATCAAAATACAATTTCCGACACCCAAGCCTGATGAGCAAATGGCTGTCACCCCCGAAAATGCCAGACCTGCGCTCTGCTTAAGGGTGACTACGACGACTACAGGCTAATCACTGTCGAACGGCCAAGTGCAGTTGTCAACGACCACCGACTTATTGGATGTCTAAACGTCCACGCGGCTTTGTTGTCTTCAGTCTTGCGTTTCCCATGCCGGAAAAATCAAAACCGCCCACTCTGTGATGTCACAATTTAGTTCGTCGCCTCTTGGAAGGTAAAAGAGCAACGCTTGCATGCCTTCCAGGCACGTAGTACACAAAAATAAATATATTAAATTGGCCTGGTGGCATGGACTTATGGATTATCACCTTTGCAACAGCACACGGGGGCACAACAATCGCACACGTTGCTACAGCCCTATTAAGCTTGCACACAGGAAACATGCGTAAATATTCCATGTGTGCACACGACCACTACAAGAAACCCCCAAATATGTTTAGCCTGCGCGCTTCACCTATTTTGTCAAGCTTTGCACTCCAGTTGTGCGCAACCCTGCCTCCACTGGGCTAAGGCGTTGGCACAACAAAAATCCCAGAGTAGACAGGGAGCTGACTGTCAACTCACGAAAACGCCTTACAACACTGCCTTTCAACAGCATACCCGTGGCTCGCGCACGTTATGAACCAGACGTATCACGCACACCCAAACTTGCCAAACCCCTGGGTACTTCAGCCTTCGCACACTGCTCACTCCCTATCATCTCCACGCTTCCAGTTGTGCCAAGACCTGCCTCCAAGATAGCGCTTTGGTACTTCCCCAAATTGGAATGCGCCGAGTCTCCTCCACGCCAAGTTGCTTTTCCGCAGAGCAACGCATGCTCGCTGTCCACAAGTCACAGGGAGATGGCCTAGCAGGCCCATTGGGTTGGCGCATCACGAAGCCCCAATCATTGGTTATCATGTCGGAGGCAGCAAGAATCGGCGACGGCACATACGACCGAGACGGGAGGTGGTTGGAATGGGAATGAGTGTGCCTCCAAATGACACCAGGAGATCGTGCCAGTACCTAATGTTGGTTCTTTGAATCTCAAACCTATCAGAATCAGCGTCAGCGCCTCCCGCACTGACTCGAAGCTCAATGGCATTCATAATAATAGCCAAAGCATCCGTGAGGGATGGGTTCGACAGAGCCCAGGGAAGATCGAAAGCGCTTGCCATCCTGTCCCATCACACTGCTTGCAGTTGAAGGCTTCGAACTCCTCGCAGCTCGGCAATTGTTGCAGGAACAACGCCTTCTCGAACACTTTCAGACAGGCCGTCACATGATCTGCAGCTTGATTGTGTTCCTGCCCTTTCAGCGAGCACTCAACTTCTTTGGTGAGTTCTGTCATCGCTGAATCCAAGTTGCTGGAACAGCCACAGCCCAAGGCCTTCACAGCCGATAGCAAAGATTCCGCTTGTTTGTTCCACTGCGTTGTGCATCTTGAAGGGTCAGTTGAAATGGTCCATGGGTCCATGAGGTGACTCTCAAGGGCCGCATTCTCCACAGCAGGGCACGCACGCAGTGGCCGGTGCACCGGGTCGACTGCCAGGATCTCGGCGCAGCGGTAGGTCCGCAGCAGGCAGCACGCCCTGGCATCGTCCGATCCAACAAATTCTCGAGCCAAGCCTGTCGGCTGCTACGCGACAACTCCCAGCCACTTTGGCTCTTTTTTGGGCCAGAACAGCGCGTACCCTACCGTAGCCTGCCAAACGATGCATGAATGCGCGCCTGATATATATTCATTTGTTTATGTATATAATGTACACTATCTGCAAGCCAGATGGCGCAACAAAACGTCAAAAAATCAGGACCGATAGACAGAGTATGCACCTCCAAGAGCAAAAGGAGACTTGGAGCAGGGGTATGGTCCAAAGAAAGGGGGGCGCCATCTATTAGGTTGAAATTGGCTGTTTTTGCTCTTATTCTAGAAACGGTGCCATCTACTAGCGTGAGGACACAATATGGAACAAAGAGAAGGGAGAGATACAGAGAGAGAGAGAGAGAGAAAAGAAGACAGGGAACTGCAAGCAGCAGAGAAAAGAGAAAGAAAAAAGAGAGAAACGAGAGAAGGAAGAGAGAAGAGGGGAGAGAATCAAGGAAGAAGAGAAGGGAAGAGGAGAGAAGGGGAGGGAAGGAACAAGACATGGGCAGCAGAAAAAGAAGGGCTTGTGGAAAGCAGAAAAGGGAGAAAGGGAGAAAAGAGAGAAGATTGAGAGGGGACAGGGCGGGACTGCCACTCAGAGTACAGTAGGTTGCGCAAAGTGGGGGTCAGAGGCAGGGGGAAGGGAAAACAGGAGAGGGGAGAGCAGGACTGACAAGTGCAGAGTAGTGGCGCAGCCTGATGATCAGTGAGGGCATGGGCAGCAGAAAAGGCAAGGACTTGTGGAAGGATAGCACATGTAGTTCTTTCCTCGAGCAGGGAAGGGAGAAAGGGAGGTCAGAGGTGGGGAGGAAAAGGAGGAGAGGGGAGAGCGGGAGAGCAGGTATAGGAAAGTGCAGAGTAGATGGCGCAGCCTGATGATCAGCATGGGCATGGGCAGCAGAAAAGGCAACCAAGCCAAGGCCTATGTTCTTGCGCCATCTGCTAAGGCCTGGCTAAAGGCCCTTTTATAAACCTCAATTTCCCTCCTGCACCATCTACTATGGTATTTTGGCCCAGATTTGGGATCCAGGGCAGCGAGCGACAGCCGGGTTATAGCCCTATGTTCAACTTCCGGGCTGGCCGAATAGATGGCGCAAACCCCCCAAAAATGACATCATGTCTGCGCCATCTGGCTGCACTTAGAGTATATGTGTATATATACGCATACAAATAATATGTGACCGTCCATGTCCTTCCTACTTGATGGCTCAGGACCGCTAAGGCCTTTATATCAGCATCTGGAAGCGCGGCAAGCTCTCAGTCTCTACAACTCTGCTAATCCCCTGCGCATATTGGAATCTAAATTGGCAGCTTCACCCCGTTGGAACGCAAGCGTGGCATCGATAGCAAAACCGGGCTCGGCGATGAAGCCTCCTCGGCGCAAAGCTTTTGATGAATCCCTCCGGCCCTTCACACAGCAGCCAAAATAAGATTCTGAGACATGCTTAAGGACAAAAATCAGAAGCCGCATCTGAGGCCACCTGAGCAAGAACCGCTTGGGTGCCCGTATGCCTTGGTTGGCGCAACGCGCGCGACCTGCACAAGCGACCCAACTTCGAAACATAAACTCAAGCTTTGTCACTTGGACACATGTTTGCAAACAAAAGTGCAATGTTGCGAGCGACACTCTGCTCTGGCCACGCAGCAACATCCTTAGCGCTCTTCAGGCATTGGTCAAAAACTGCAAGTCAGATTTCCTCTCCAAAACTGACAGAAGAGCATTTTTGGTTGGGCGGCTCTCGGGACTCAAGCCACCTCACATCGCCAGTCGAAAAAAGTGTCCACCAGGACAAGGACGCAGCAGAATCGTCTGTAAACCTTTTCAATCGAAGAGCCTCTATTTGCTCTAGTTTGGCAGTAGCTTTGAACTGCGTGCGACTGTGGGGTTTGAAGATTTCAACGTTCTGTTTGTTGGGGCCGTGAAATATCTTCCGTTCTCTTGACAGTTGTCAAAGCAAGTTGATCCTCCTTGCGCCTCAAAAACGTGAAATTGTTGCTGCAATCACAAACATCCATATTCGCAAGTCTGCAAGCACTTTTATCTGTAGTTCGTATTTTGGACGGCATCAAGAACTATTGGTTGTTGAAAATAGCAGCTCCTGGCAGTGCATGGCCGCGCTACAACCGAAAACTATTCCGACTTGCCCGAGTGGCGTGCACACAAATGATTTTTTCACTTCCTGTTTTGCAAATGTTTGATTTATGACATTATACAGTAACAGGTTCTTGGACTGTACTGAGCAGCTGACAAAGGGGCCTCACAAAACAATGACAAACTTTACCCCGATGGTACGCTCGAAGTCTTGCGCGGTCAGCCTCCTATCCTGTTGCAGCAGGCCCCAAGCTTGCAACTGTCAAGCAACAACGCCATTACAATGCGACAACTAAGGCGCAATCAAAAAATTTTGCAAACGGCGGCCACTGTACAAACCACAGCATCTACATGATGTCTTGGTCTTGGTACAGATGGGAACCCTGCCGTTATTGTCACGCGCGTGCTCTCATATGTGTGCTCTATGCGTTTGCCCACAGGCTTCGCACGGCACCACAACGAGAGCGCAGTTGAGGAGAGCGCCCCGCACCAGCCCGGCACAGTCGAAATTCACTTTTGACAGAAAGAAAGGTCGCACTATTTTACTCTCACACATCTCTCGAGCCACTAGGTCGGTCGAACATGTCATCTGTACAGTACACGTCACTCAACACAGGGGCCATGTCTAGATTGCTCATGATCGGCACCCCGCCTCACGATTCGTGAATCGTGTCTTTTCCAACGGTCTTTCTCGACCAAAGCTGGTCTTTACAGAAACCTAGAGCTCATCATCTCCGTACCCATGTTGAGACTCAAACAATCGAAAGACTGTCATGATTTTCGGGGAACTTCCAAAGGCCTGCTTTAGAATGTAGTAGAGACGCTGACTCCGTTCAATCACTGGCTGTGTTCCATGATCGGCTACCGGTTTGTCGGCCATGACTTGCGCTACTTCGGACGCATATGCGGGCGCGAGTGTGGACAACCAACTCACCAACGATTCTAGATACGATCTAAAACCTAAAATCTGTTGAGGACGTGTCCCCCACTTCTCTGGACTACATGTCGGCATACTCGGGATGAGCTTGCTATCCACATTCTTGAAAGCACTCTGAGCTAACCCAGCGCTCCTGACGTGCCCGGCCCTGTTCCCGAACCTGAGCTCGGTCTCGTCACGCCATCGGACCGGCCGCCGCAGTCTGTGTCACTGCTTGACTCTGTTGCATCTGCTGTACTAGACCTAGAATCATGGCATTCTGATGCTGCATGTGTTGCATCTGTTGTTGCATTAGAACTACTATATTCTCTAGCACATGTGAAGACGGACTCGGCAAGACTTGGGTGGGGCTCTGCAGACCTGCTCCAACAAATCCTGGTGGCGGATACATACCTGGCATACCTCCATGACAACCTGCCAGACCCGGCACTGGGCCAAGACAACCTGTCATACCTGGTGCTGGGAAAGGTGGTGGGGGTGGAATACCACCAACTCCGGGCATCATACCTACAACAGAACAACCTGACCCTACTGCTGGCTGACTTGACTGCTGAGACGCCAAGAACGCAGGTCCTGACGCTGAGTTCCCGTCAATGCTCTGGTCTCCAACACCAACTGGTCCTCCGGGACCTGAGTGCATGGTCACACCGCTCGGACACGCATCAGGCGCACCAACTGCACCAGCAACACCTGACACCACCTGTTCAGATTGCAACTGCGCACCTTGAACCTGGGAATCCAATTCTTCTAAACCGACTCCCTGCATAAGGCCGGACAGACCTCCACTACCTCCGTTCAGACTCTCAAAGCCTGACGCTGACGTTGTGTCACCTTGACTCATGTCAAACACCTGCGGCTGACTCTGAGGCCGTTCGGTGCTTTGTGGTCCATACACGACAGGCTGACCTTGGGGATGCTGCTGCGTGTTGCGACGCACGGCTGCATCGAGAGCATCGGCGGTGGACTCCACATGTTCCAACACCTTGCGCTCACCTGACCTTCGAACGCTTGACGAGGTGAACCTGTTGACCTCCCTGGACCTACTGGAGCAACGAAAGCTCCGCTACCATACGCAGGTACAGACAGTACCTGGAAGGTGCGGGCTGCAAGACAGCTATCACAATAATTTATCTGCAAAAAGCAGTCTTCACACAAAATGTTCAAAAATGCAGCTCTTTATTTTGTAATGGTTTTCTTTTTCCGCACCACGACTTGAGCCAAAGTATTGTCGTCGGCGTCATTCACTATACACTGTTACATCTCATGAAACCTCAGTCTGTCGACCTCGCAAGTGGTCACCCTCTCACTAAGCGCAACTCAAAGCGACCAATGTATTCAGCGAACTGAATGCAATCGCTGCTTGCTGCAAAATCAAACAACAACCTCTACCCCTGCAGAGTTTGTGGGTCTTGGCAAAAACAATGCTAGCACTTCAAACGAACGCGCTATCCTCGTAGGGTTCAAAGAACAAGCACTGCACCTATCAACCCAAAAGGCCAAAAGCAGTGGGCGCAAGCACTGCAGCCAATCATATGCAAAAAACTGCTAGAACTGTGGATATTCCTGACGGCTAGACCTCTGTCCATACTCAAGCCCGGTGGGTGGTTTGAAGAGAAGTCTTAACTTCAAGGCACGATACGTCCAATGATGTAGGCCATTCACTCTCAAGCATATCAAGTTCTACAAAACTTCTGATGGACATATAGGTTCGGATGTGGGCATTTCTATGCACACGTTTTCAGCTGGAATGACTGATTCCCTTCTCACCACAGCAAACCGTGATCGGAACAAGCGCCACAACTGCGTTTGGACGATCACATGCTCATTGACACCTTCTAACGACCTCTAGACTGCTCAGACCACGAAATTCAAAATCGCTAAACTTGCGACGCGCTTACCTCAAAAGTCGTCAAATTTAGACTTTTAGTTTGGTCGACCTGCTGGCCTTCTGCTGTCCTTTTCAAGGTTCTTACAATATGGAAATGTCCTAGGTGTCTACAAATGGTTTACATAGGCTTACGAAAGAGCTCAGCTCTTCACACACCTGCTCTCGTCATTGAACGACATGCAGCCGCCAAGTTTTGGGGAAAACTTGGTGGGGCATATCTCTGCTACAGAGCTTGCCCTTCGGCTGTCTTCACAGTCATAAGACAGCTCTGTTCTGAAGAAGTAGCCTTCAAGCAAACAATATAACACCAACAGGAGTGTCCTCCTGTTCTCTCAAAATTTGTGGTTTGACCAAAAATTTGGGAGGAGTGTCGTCTAGCATTGCTCATTGAGGCAATCAGCAAATCAAGCAAGGCACGCGGATGCAAGGCATACAAGTGTATGCACGTCGGTCTCCTGTCCTGTGGCTTCATCCCTTTTGGCTTCGAATGCTTTTAGTCAAGCATTGGTCTCCACTTTTCTGCTTTTCAAGATTATACGATTTAGGCAGTGTCGGATACTATCCATAGATCTCTGTAGTTCGTCTAGCTTATGTGGCGGGGAATCTTGGGGTATGGATATTCATTACTGTTCTTTTCTCCCCAGCTCTAAGTGCGACGAATCTTTTCGTTTGGGAGGGTTACACCTCAACCAAAACTATTTGTTGTCTGGCGTGGGATTGTAGACAGCTTCCCGAAACTGTTCGTGGTGCTACAGCTTGTCCGAAGCTGCTCGTAGTGCTACGTGGGGCCTTTTCAGCTGGTTATGAGATCTGGATTTGCACTAGTCAAAATAGATGAAATGGGTTTCAATTATTCGCAAAAACCTAAAACCTGAACCTAAAGCCTAAACCTAAAACCTAAACTAAAACCTAAAAACCTAAAACCTAAACCTAAAACGTAACACCTAAAACCTAACTGAAACCTAAAACCTAAACCTAAACCCAAAACCTAAAACCTAAACCTAAAACCCAAAACATCTCCAAACCTAAAACCTGAACCTAAAACCTAAAACCTAAACTAAAACCTAAAACCTAACCCTAAACCTAAAACCTAAAATCTAAAACCTAACCCTAAACCCAAAACCTAAACTTAAACCTAAAACCTCAACGTAAACCCAATACCTAAAACCTAAAACCCAAAACATCTCTTAACCTAAAACCTAAAACCCAACGAAAGCCGAAAACCAAATTCCGAAAGCCGAATCTCCAAAAGAGAAAAAATGGGACAGGGTTCTGCAAACAGAAGACCGAAAGCCAGAAACCGAATTCCGAAAGCCGAAAACCGAATCCCGATATAGGGCAAAAAAAAACGGGACGGGGGTCCGAATAACGAATACCGAAAGCCGAATACCGAAATCTGAATTCACGAATACCGAAACGTTAATAGCGAATCCAACTTTCCCGGGACTATCTCCGGATCGCTACTCAAAAAACGTTGCTAAAAAAGCAATGGATTGATTGAAAAAACAACAAACAAACTCGAAAAACAGGGGCAAAGAAAAAGAGAGAGAGAGAGAGAGAAAAGTGGGGCGAGAGAAAAGCTGCAGCGAGAACACAGGACACCAGTGGAAACGGTCCAAAACTGAACGCAACCAATATTGTTCTGCAGCCAAGAGTCGGAGACAAAGCACTGGGATCCGTCTCAAAAGCAGAGCCAGGAGGCCGCAGCACCTGTCGCAAAGCTTGCAGCTGGCTGCTGCTGAGGTGGCCCCGCTCCTCCAAGACATGCCACCTCAAAGGCTATGCGCTCAGTGTCAGAACCAATTGTCAGAATCAGTCAAAAAAAACATTATGTTTGTGTAGGAAAGGCCCCACCTAATGCGAGCGCAGGAGGAGTCTTGAAGGAGTCTGCCATCGTATCTGAAGAAATGGCCAGCAACTCCACGTCCAAATGCCGGATGCATCATCATAGGATCCGCTCCTTGCACTTCTTTTGTCATTCCTGCTCGTGGCAGGGAGTCTCCCAGGTGTTGAAACCAAGCATTTTCATCCTGACTTGTGTCCATCTGCATAGCCACAGCCACAGCTTTGGAAGCATCGGAAGGCATGTGAACCAGCTGAATCTCAGCCGCAGACCTCTTTCCGGCCAAGGCATGTTGACCAGGCACACTCACTTCAACGAAGGAAATGGGCAACTCCAGGCCATGCACCAGCAAGACCATTAAGGGTTTTTGGTCCACAGGTGTAATGCGAAGTCTGTCACCCAAATTCGCTACATGAAGCTCTGGCGCTACAGCAGCACTCTCCGCCGCTGCTGCTTCTGCTGGAGGCAAGCCGGGTGTCGCCGACAGCCGCCAAAACAGGAGTGCTTCAGAACTTTCACCAGAACCTGCATCAACATGTTCGGTCTTTGCGAGGTCCACCTCCACGGGTGATGCAGCTTGCATGCTGCAGTCATGCACGCTTATGCCGGTTGCCAACATGGATGGTTTGGCTGAGACTGCGGGTGAAATTGCGGTGGTTGTGCTTGTGCTTGTGGTGGTCCTGCTGTCCCCAGAACCAACTGGAGGTGCATCTGAATCCCAAACAGCTGAGGCTGCGCTGTCAATCTGTGCTTGTAAAGTTTCGACTGTTCGAGAGGCACCATCCACAGCAGCCTGTGCATTGCGGAGATGGTCTCTGCTTCGCACGGCCGTTGTGTACACATCGTTGGCAATTTCAGTGCCATTCCCCGTCAGCGCCAGCAAGGACTCGTCCATCGCCTGCGGGCAAGCACTGGGACTTGTGTGCAGTGTGTCTGCTGCGCAAAGCCACAACAAAGTGGATACCTGAAAGCTGGGCCACTAGTAGGATCCCTTGCTACATCTTTCAACTCCGGCGCTAAGCCTTGTGGACTCCCAGCCTGCTTGGCAGTTTGCAACTTTGTGGAGTCATTTGCCAAGGCTGCCTGTGCCTCCAAAAGCTGTGGGGTCAAGTTGGTCGGAGTCGGAAATGCACAGGAACCTTGGCATTTTCACGCTCAGGGCGCTCCCTGTGTCAAGCACTAGGCACTGCAACTCATCGGAAACACCCGCTTCCCCACTCTGCAGCTTTGGAGCCTCCTCTTGGGCACGGCTGGACCAACCTGCTGCATTGGTACTTACGTCTGAGCTCCATGCCATGATGCCTCCACACCATGTCTGTTTTCTTTTAATTACCGTGAGACAGGTTTGCGGCCAGGCTTCCATGTCTGTGTTGGAGGCAGGGTGGGCAATTGCTCTGGAGCATATTGCAGCATGTTGAGGACCCGCTGCAGCCGTGACTTCGAAGTGGCCTCGGTTGCATGGTGCTGCAAGGTACTTTTACTTTTACGCTTCAGGCTGTGGTGTTGTTTCACACGCGCTGCGCTCCCACATGCTTTACAATACCCAGCTGCAATGGTTTGGTTCCTCATAAAGATTCGTGCCCCAGCTGAACCGCCGTTGCACGAGGTCTTCACTTCTGCCCAGAAATGCTGGAACGAGACCTCATTCAATCCAAACGCCGTAGTATGCAGGTCAAACTACACGGGCCGAATCAGTTCTACGCGTATCGTGGCCAAGGCCACTTGATAAGAAGTACGATCTGGGCTGCGCGCGTTGGCGAAGACGTTGGCAAGCTTGAGGGGAAGCATGCTTACAAGAACAGGCTGTAGTTCCCCAACCTGCACTCAGGCAGCTTGGCCAAACAGAAGCGCAGCGCGGAGAAATGAGACAGTTGCACCTCACTTGGGAGTTCTGCTTGGTCTAATAAAGGTGCCAAAAGATCCAAGGACGGCTCAGCACCTCGAAGTATTTAACCAGACTTGTCCGAAGGCTGGGATACACTGCCGCTGCTGTTTCAAACACAAAGTCAGGGCATTCCGGTGTCTACAATATTTGGGAGCCGGCACGGGCAGCACAATTGTAGTGTATGTATGTATGTATGTATGTATGTATGTATGGCTCAAGGTTTCGGCTCAAGCTGGTTGATGGGACCTCGTCTTCGGCACTGGAACTTCTTGTTTGACCTCCACTCCGGCCAGACCGAGGACAGGCCAGGAAGCAACAGCTGCCGCTGACGCCACCTCCTGGGTTGCCTTCGGGAATGCCCAAGGTCTCCAAGATCCAGAAGGCCACAGCTGAGATCCTTGCCCCGGCCTGGTCTTCCTTAGAACCTGCCTTGCAAGGTAAGCTCAAAGACCTCGGGCATGTAAGAAGCACTTGTGGCCGTGAGGGTCTGTTGCTCCGTCTCGATCCTGGCTTGGATGCCCTTCATCTCGTCAAGGAGGTCCTGGTAAGCCTTCTTGGTGGAATCGATCTTGTTCTGAAGGGAGGACTTCTTGTGAGAGAGGTCCTTGAGGAGTGTGACCTGGCTCTTCAACTTGGAAGCAACATCTTTCTCAGTGGGAGGAGCAGGTTTTGTTAGCTTCTCCACCAGCTCTCGAACCATGGGAGGCAGCTGAGCCATGTTCTTAACCAAAACATCCTTGAGGTCTGGTTCCGAAGCCTGACCTGGGAGCCCTCCCTGAAAAGGAAGGAGGTGACCCGGCTCCAGATGCTGTAGCTGGCTTCATCAATACTTTAGGTGACAACCTCACAGAGGAGCAACACCGACAGTTGCAAAACGTGCTCAAAAGGCCGCCTGCTGCAACCCGTCCAAACGTCGTAAGACTGATGCGGCGGAGGACATGTCATGCGGGTAACCCCACACCTTCTGAGCTTGAGACGACTTTTGCACCGGGGACTCTGTCATGCACTTCTTTGCATGCTTTGGGTACATCTTTGATGTTTGATTGTGGGGCTGATCACAATCCTCACCTTTTGCCTTCGTCCTTTTCAGGCTCAAGCGCGAGCTCTCCGCGGGGTTGGGAGAGCTATGGACCTCGCAGACGCAAGCCTCTCTTGAAGATCTACGGAGGCAGCGTCACTGGCACTCAAGCTGTCAGCCAGGACACCTCTGGTGGGGCACTGGGCTCTTCTACCTCAGAGCAGACCGTAGGTCCTGCTAACTCAGGCTGAAGAGACTCACACGATGCCAGGGGATGGAGCCCTGACTGAAGCTCAGGGCTTTCTTTTCGATCTTTGCCAGCGGGATCTTGTTCAATCCTGTCAGAGATACCGCTCCACGACCAATCCACACCATGGTCAACAGGTTTTAGCTGATCTACGGAGAATGCAGAATCTCCTGCACCAGCATCTTAGCTTGCCGGGAGACACCAAGTGGCCTATGGCCAATGTTTTCATAATCTCCCAAGTTTTGACTTCTGTTCTTCGGAACCCGGATGGCTACAATCTGTGCTTCGGGAACGCGCCCTTCCGCTGCTGGTGCTGGGCTGGAGCCTTTGCGGAAGATGCTTCTTTGGCTTGGGGCCGAACACACGGAGCCACCAGGCAATTTCTTTCCAGCTGGGATCCTCAGTGGCTGCCTATGTTGATGAACATGGAAATTGTCTGGCTCACTTTGAGCAGGGCAGTCAAGCTGATGCCTCTGATTTCCTCGGTACCTTTGGGAGTGTGCCAACACCACCTTCTTTGGTAGCAAGTTCTTTCACTGGACACTTTCAGGCCAACTTGAAGTCCGGGAGCAATTGCCGCTCAACATCATCCTCCCTGAAGGGGACTCGCCAGCCACCTTGGAAGAACTCATCAATGTTTGGGCAGATGAGGATGGGGGGCAGTTCCTGTACGGATCCCCAGATGCGTTAGTGCTTCAACTACAACGCTTTCAACTCAAAGAGGGCACATGGACGAAACATAACCGAGCGCTGGATCTCCTCACGGACATCAACATCCCTTTCTCGGATGATGGGACTCATGTCCACAATGCATCTTACAGGATAGTGATAGTGAGCCTCGTCCTCCATCAAGGTGAGGGACACCAAAATGGCCATTACCAGACGGTGCTTCTCATGGACAATGCCATGTGGTTGGCTGATGATGAAACTTACCCCACTCCTTTGGGCCATCTCACAACCCAACAGAAGTGTGAGATCTTGCAGATTTGGTTGGTGAAGGAACCAGAGGATGAACTTGTGGAGGACACCCAGGCGGAATATGCCACGCCGGCATCCAAACGCCAAGAATCCTCTCATGAGACTCTCACCTTGATCTTCGGGAATGTCACCACTTTTGGACATAAGTGACATAAGGTTCAAGATTGGACATGGACCAGGCCGGACTCCTTGCTCTTCTTTCAAGAGACTCACCTGGGAGACAAGGAAACCACCAAGGCGGTGCAGTACTACTCCACTTGAGGTTGGAAAGCCTACGGGATTCTGGCGCACGCCACTGGGCAGCTCACTCATCAAGCACAACACTTTGTCCTTGAGGGCAATGGCTGGACCTAGTTGGGTCTCCAACGACAAGGTCTGCAGCTGTTCCTGATCCAGATCTACCTCCGCACTGGGGAGACTCCAATCAGCTGCCAACTCCACCATCTTGAGTCAGCTCCTGGCCTACCTTCATCACCTCCACGCTCCCTTTATCATTGGGGGTGATTGGCAAAATGAACCAGCCGCACAAGCTGCCACTGTGATTCAGGGCAAGTTCAGGGCCACGATCCTTGACACTGGAGGTAACACAACCTTGCAGGGCAGCCATCTCGACTACCTCTTGGTCTCCAACTCCTTATCTGCGTCTATTCGGGTTACTGCCTTATGAGAAGTGCCTTGGAGGCCACATTGTGCCTTGGAAGTTCACCTTGATTGTGTTCAGCCTCCTTTGAAGGTACAACAACTTCAGCGTTTCCCGCCAATAGGCCGAACCTTTCAGCTGCCACATCAATGGACTAGTTTCGCTGAGGAGGACGGACCGTTCTACATCATGAACGACCTTATCGATGGCCTTGGCTCGGATTTAGCTCGATGGGCCACCCAGACGGAGAAGTACATCACTCAGCTCCTCCACAAGCTTGCTCCAGGCACCTCTCGTTGACTCCACCACTTCCAGGACCTGGTTGCGGGGAGCAGTAGCCTTCTGGGAGAAACTCAATGTGAGGATCAATGTCGTCCACCACACTGGTGTGTTTGGCAATTACGCTTGCGCATGTTGTTTTGATTGACAGACAGACGCGCAGACACATTGCCTTTGCCAGACAGTACTCCTTGGGGAGTCGTGCGTCATCTCAGCAGACATAACTGTTGCGGCTATAAACAGCCAAACACGCAGCACAGGAGTCATTTTGCACTTGTGGCCCAGAGCGGGGTGGCGAAAGCTAGGCAAAGAAACAACGCTGGGGCTCTTTGGCAGGAAAGCCTGGCCGGGAATCACAACATGCCATGGCCAAGGGAAAAGGAGAGTGCCAACAGCGCCCCCCCAATACGACCCCAACACAGCCAACACATGGCAACACACAACCACCCCAGCAACGGCAGCAGCAGCATCATCAGCAGCAGCCACCAAGCAGCAGCAGCAGCAGCAGCAGCAGAAGCAGCAGCTACCAAGCAGCAGCAGCAGCAGCTACCAAGCAGCAGCAGCAGCAGCTACCAAGCAGCAGCAGCAGCAGCAGCAGCAGCAGAAGCAGCAGCTACCAAGCAGCAGCAGCAGCAGCTACCAAGCAGCAGCAGCAGCAGCAGCAACAGCAGCAGCAGCAGCTACCAAGCAGCAGCAGCAGCAGCAGCTACCAAGCAGCAGCAGCAGCAGAAGCAGCTACCAAGCAGCAGCAGCATCAACAGCAGCTAGCAAGCAGCAGCAGCAGCACCTGCAGCAGGCAGCAGGTACCCGGCAGCAGCAGCAGGTACAGTACCAAGCAGAAGCAGCAGCAGCAGCAGCAGGAGCAGCTACCAAGCAGCAGCAGCAGCAGGAGCAGCTACCAAGCAGCAGCAGCAGCAGCAGCAGCAGCTACCAAGCAGCAGCAGCAGAAGCAGCTACCAAGCAGCAGCAGCAGCTACCGAGGCGGCAGCAGCAGCAGCAGCCACCAAGCAGCAGCAGCAGCAGCCACCAAGCAGTAGCAGCAGCGGCAGCAGCTACAGCAGCAGCAGCAGCAGGAGCAGCTACCAAGCAGCAGCAGCCACCAAGCAGTAGCAGAAGCAGCAGCAGCAGCGGCGGCAGCAGCTACAGCAGCAGCAGCTACCAAGCAGCAAGCAGGCAGCAGCAAGCAGCCAGCAGCAGCAGCAGCAGCAGCCAGCCAGCAGCCAGCAGCCAGCAGCCAGCAGCCGCAGCAGCAGCCAGCAGCCAGCAGCCAGCAGCCAGCAGCCAGCAGCAGCAGC